ACACAAGCTGTATATTAAATAGCCCATTTTGCTTTGAAGTATAGCCTGCTTTCACACTGCTGTTCTCAGAAGACTAGAGTTAACCCACCAGGTATAAGATCCAGCCTTAGCTATTTTTTATTTTAAAGTCAGAACTTTTCTGCTCTGACCTGAACATGCAGGTCAATATTCATGGCAAATCATAGAATCATAGAATAGTTAGGGTTGGAAAGGACCTTAAGATCATCAAGTTCCAACCCCCCTGCCATGGGCAGGGACACCTCACACTAAACCATGCCACCCAAGGCTCTGTCCAGCCAGGACTTGAACACTGCCAGGGATGGAGCATTCACAACCTCCCTGGGCAATCCATTCCAGTGCCTCACCACCCTCACAGGAAAGAATTTCCTCCTTATATCCAATCTAAACTTCCCCTGTTTAAGTTTTAACCCATTACCCCTTCTCCTGTCACTACAGTCCCTAATGAAGAGTCCCTCCCCAGCACCCTTATAGGCCCCCTTCAGATACTGGAAGGCTGCTATGAGGTCTCCGCGCAGCCTTCTCTTCTCCAGGCTGAACAGCCCCAACTTCCTCAGCCTGTCTTCATATGGGAGGTGCTCCAGTCCCCTGATCATCCTCGTGGCCCTCCTCTGGACTTGTTCCAACAGTTCCATGTCCTTTTTATGTTGAGGACACCAGAACTGCACACAATACTCCAGGTGAGGTCTCACAAGAGCAGAGTAGAGGAGCAGGATCCCCTCCTTCAACCTGCTGGTCACGCTCCTTTTGATGCAGCCCAGGATACGGTTGGCTTTCTGGGCTGCAAGCACACACTGAAGTCAGCTCATATTAAGTTCCTCATCGACCAACACCCCCAAGTCCTTCTCCGCAGGGCTGCTCTGAGTCTCTTCTCTGCCTGACCTGTAGCTGTGCCTGGGATTGCTGCAACCCAGGTGTAGGACCTGGCACTTGTCATGGTTAATGTTCATTACTAATGCTTCTGAAATTTGTCTAGCTTTTGATCCACACAGAACAGGTACAACGCTCATCTACTGCCAGAACAACTGACTCTTCCATTGTCCTAACATCATATGCACACTCTACAAAGACATGTAGCAGACACAGGGCCTTACTGTATCTAGCAAAAGCTCAATAGTGTAGTGTACAGTGCAATTCAGACTACTACAGAAATTACTCTGGAACCATAGTGAGATGAGTTCATGAAATTCAGTATGAATCATAGAATCATCATAGAATGGTTTGGGTTGGAAGGGACCTTAAAATAACATCTAGCTTCAATCCCCTTATTATGGACAGAGACCTTCAACTAGACCAGGTTGCTCAAAGCCCCATCCCAGCCTGGTTTTGAACACTGCCAGGGATGGGGCAGCCACAACTTTTCTGGGCAACCTATACCAGTGCCCCAACACCCTCGTAGTAAGGAACTTAGAACCATGGAATCAACTAGGTTGAAAAAGCCCTTAAGGTCATAAAGTCCAACCATTACTTCAGGATTGCCAAGTTCACCACTAAACCACATCACAGAGAGCCTCATCTACACAGTTTTTGAACACTTCCAGGGACGGTGATTCCACCACTTTACTAGAAAGCCTGCTCCAATGTCTGACTGCTGTCCCTGTGAAGAACTTTTTCCTAATACCCAGTCTAAACCTCCCCTGGCACAGCTTGAGGCCATTACCTCTTGTCTGTCACTTGTTACTCAGGAGAAGAGACCGATCTCCAGCTCACTACAGCCTCCTTTCAGGTAGTTGTAAGGAGTGGTAAGGTCCTCTGTGAGCCTTCTCCAGACTAAACAACCTCAGTTCCCTCAGCCATCCCTAGTAAGACTTATTTTCCAGACCCTTCACCAGCTTTGTTGCCCTCTTCTGGGCAGGACTCCAGGTGCCTTCTCATGAGAGTGGCATAGGGGGGAAAATCACCTCCCCCAACTTGCTGGTCACGCTCCTTTTGATGCAGCCCAGCACACGGTTGGCTTTCTGGGCTGTGAGCACACACTGACAGCTCATGTTCAGTTTCTCATTGACCAACACCACAAGTCCCTCTCCTCAGGGCTGCTCTGAATCCATTTCCACCTAGCCTGTATTTGTGCTTCGTATTGCCCCAACCATCTATGACATAAGAATCTGATGGATGGAAGTACACCAGGCAAGCCGACACTTGTCAGATCTGAAAAGTCACATTAAGAACCTGATAAATCAGCATAGGAAAAATGTCTTTAAAATACCCTAAAATTAAACTAGAAGGAGATAAAGGTCTATTTAAATTAGTTGCACATCTCTGCACACAACCTGGCAGAAAACAAAAAACCTGGAAGACATTTAAAGTAGAAATAACAGTGATGCTAATAATTACTGAACTTGTCAGATGAATGCTATCAAATAAATTAGCCTGTCTGCATATTGCAACTTCAAAAAAAAAAAAAAGTGTGTGAAATCAACACTAATTAAGTTTCCATTTGATGGACTGTATTTTTAAAGTCTTGGGAAGCCTGTAAGATAAGAAACCATGAGGAACTTCAAAAGCAGTTTAAGCAGGCTGCACGCCAAATCTTCAAATTGAGAAATTAATTTCCTTAACAGAACATTTCTCTGATACTCACTGGACACGTGCATTTTACAGACAGTCCAATCTATCCTCATCTCCAAATTACAGGTTTCAAACAACATAGATAACTAACAAAAGAGCTTAGAAGTTAGTACTGAATTCAGACATGTCATATGGAAAAATAGTAATCCATGAAAGCACCACTGCTGGTTTCTACAAAAATAGTAGAATGACTGTACAGAACCAAAACATTTTAGTGCCTTTTAAGGTAGTCAAGCTGTCCACTCTAATAAATGTAAAGAAAATAGTATTTAACTTAGTCTTTGTAGTAAATCAGAGGAGCGTACAAAATTTAACATATTTGAAGTGTCTCGTAAGAGAGTATCTCACAATGAACAAGTACCTGGTAAGAAAGTAACAGCTACACCATGTACTGAAGCTTGAGGCAACCAGGATCAGACTATGCTATACTCTGGAAACTGCTGAAACGAAAGGCAGTTACTTATGCCAGTTCATCTTAAGATCATAATGCTCTTGACATCCGAGGGACACTGTAAAATTTACTAGTTTCAATCTGCGCATTCGTAGTTCCTGGAAATATAAGCTGAGGCAGTAGGAGTGCAACTAATAAAAAAAAATCTTAACTAAAAATTCAAGTGGTTTTGAGACATTTCTATTATTTACACAGGCTCAGAAAGTCAGAAAGGAATACATGCTCCAGAAGGGAATATATGCTCTAGTATAACTGCAGGACTTGGTTTCAAACGCAAATGCTCACTGAAAAATCCAGAATAAAGGAGAAACATCAAAAGTCATTATATATTTACATTACGTTAACTGCTAGAGTATTGACTGAAGACAAAGTAGTACTAACAATTTAAATTCATTGAAATACAAGGAAAAATAAGCTTTTCAAACAATAAAGAGTGAAGATATCAAGTTGCTTAATTTGAGAATAGTTTCTTTCAGTTAATATAACAAAAAAATGGCTTGATCAAGTCATTTTCATGAAAATGACTTCCACTTATGATAATACCCAAAACAAAAATATTCCTGACAGATAATTCATACTTCGGATCAGTCTACTAGAAAGGAGGAGGAGGAAAGTTCGTTCCTATCTGTCACTTTTGATGACAGGCGCATTCTGGGACACTACAAAAACTAGTTCTATGTATATTTTAATGCACCCTAAAGTAAGTCAATCTTAAAAGACTTACTAATCTGAAAATGAATAGCTGAGATGAGGTTCTTAAAGTATTCTTTATTAATATCATTAGAAGTTGCAGAAACAACTTTCTTGTAATATAAAGGCACAGGGAGACAGTTTTGATAAAATATTCCAATCAAACAGTAACTTACAGTACAAAAGGACAATTGTAATGCACATACAAACCCCAAACATCTCATTCAAAAATATTTCACTGTGTTCATCAATAATGGGCAATGACTAAAAATATAAATTGTTATTATACAATAAATATCTGACAGGTACAAACAGAACAAGATTTATTGCTCTCCACAATGTTTTCCCTGTAGTGTTTTTTGTTTGTTTTTTAAAGTTCCAAATTCCTTTTACAGTCAACTTTAGTATCTTATTTCTGAGGCAACTAAACCCCAAACCAAATCTGACAGGACATTCTGACAGCTACAGAACTGCCTTGAATACTATCCAGAACTGGCAGTGTTTGTTTCTTTTACAACTTTGACAATCATACTCCATTCACTCATTGGGAAATGTGGCAGATATTTATAAAATCAACTTTAGTGATAAATCAAGGCTTTTATGGCAAAGTAGGATTATCTAGTTTTAGGGTTAGTGTATTTTCTCAAAATAAGTAGATTTTATGTTGAAAAATAACATGAACCTTCTCTGACAGCTTGTGCCAGAGGAAGCATGCAAAACCATATTCAAGTGAGGGGAGTGGAGAAACGAAAATTAAAAGCTGCATTGGGCATTCCAACTTCAGAAAATGAAACAAGGGACTGGGAGCAAATTAAGCCTACATAGGCAAAGATTACTTAAGGTGAGAATTTTGAATTCTAAAATACCCTTAAGATAATCAACTAAGAAATCAAAATGCACTCTGTATCTTTATACAGCTCTGGTTTTTGAGCTTTGAAGAAGGGACAGAGAGTGAGTTTGTGTTTTACTAACCTTGCACTTTGCAGTAATCTCGTAATGCAACAGTTTCCATCAGTCTTTTGATGCAGTGTAAGAGGCATATTAGCTTTGCTCTTAAAAGTAGCACATACTACCTTGCCCATATTCTTTTTAGCTTGTACAAAATATTGGTTTATACACGCATTTAAGATATACTACTTTCCTTCATTACTGTTACAAGAAGTAATATGCATACATTTCTTACGAGTATCTTTTTATGAATAAGACTGCAGGAAAATGAAGAATTATAGCAGTTGTTAAAAAAAAGAAAAAAAACAAACAAGCTTTAAAGTGAGTTCTTGCAGCACTGAGGTTTTATCAAAACTGTAATTTTATGAGAACTCGGTACTTACACAAACCTCAACAAGTCAATTTTGACTGCACTAGGAATAGTCAAACTGAGTTCAAGAAAAGGTGTCTAGAGTGAATACAGCTTAATCAATTTAGCCAGTAAACCAAAAGATGAATATTCAGTAAACTCCATTACACTTGAATTCAACAGAATTGGGAATAATGCAAAACCAACTTCTAACTTTCTAGACATTATTATTCAAATTAAAGTTTTCTTTCAGCATTAGCACATAGTTTCAGAAGTCCCTCAAAGAATTAACCAAGGATCACTGAAATTTGAATCTTCAGAATTATTAGCTTCACTACGATATAGCATTTCCTTTAGTGTTCAGAAACTAATAAAACCATTTTCTTTGGTTTATGCGTAACTACACTGGCCTAGTTAATTCTTACTTTTAAATTAATGCAGATCTTTTCATTGTAGGCTCTCTCCAATTCTCAAATTGTCTCTGTTAAAAGCAAGAGTTTGCTCATCCCATGATTTCCTGCTAAACAATGGTGTATATACTGTCATGAAGGGTAAATGTTTTGTACAATAATTACATTAAGTGGTATTTCCAATGGCTGGACTACAAAAGACATCAAATGAATGTAGTTCAAATGACACTTGAGTTTATGTCAATCTTAAAAAAAAAAATACACAATGTCTAAGCATAGTAAAATACAGTGTAAACCCCCCTAAAATTAGACAGTAAACATAGGAATCCTGCACTCACAGTAGGAATGTACTGCACAGCATTAACATGAAAGCCTGTTAAATTTGAACGAATGCAGACAGCTATATTTACCTGGATGTAAATGCCACTTCAAGGTGTTTAAACAAACACAAAAATGAGACAATGATGTCAGGAAAAAGGCCTTTAAAACAGGCCATGAGTCTAACTTGACTTTCCAAGTAAGAACATCAGCTCACAAAACCGTGACACTAATGCAGTTTTATGTAAAGTACCCTTTGACACACAAGCTGTCAATTAAGCTATCACAGTCTTTAATGACCTACTCCCTTTTAAATAGTTAGGGAGGGGAGTCAATAGTAGCTCAAGTTTTAATTCACTAAGTACCTTTTCTGTTTGCAAAGGAACATTACAACACCATAAATTTATTATTTTATGGTATTTATAAAACTGATAAACTAGGGGGTTTTTATGTTCTCTTTTTAATACGTAAGTTCAAACCTTCATTTTCTATGCGTCTTTGCAATAGTGTTTTAGCCAGTGTTGCAAAAAAATTTCACTGTGGACTACCTCACATTGTTACTCAATTGTGCAAGGTATTCTCGCAGTTCTTTTGCAGCTTGGAATCTACCATATCGCTTCTTTGGGTTGGCACACTCATCCAGCAAGGCCTCAAGTCGGCCATCTTTGGCAATTTCAGCTGGCGGGTCATGAAGTAGTCCTCCAGAAGTGCCACGCCACATGGCATGTCTTGATAAAAGGTTCTGACAAATAGCATAATAATTGTGGTCCACAGTGACACGAGCACAAAGAATCTCTTTTGAGAAGGACAGACAAGCTTCTTTATCACAGTCATCAAATTTGCTTTCATACCATACATCCCAGTTTTCAGGTTTATCTGTGAAGTATAAGGAGACAGTAAAAATAAAAATGTGAGATAGCAAAGAAAAGAGCATATGTGTGTTTGAATACAATCAGAAACTCAATACACAGCAAACTGGTTGTATTTAAACTATAAACCAACTTTGTTTAGATGAACTCCTAAATGTTCTAGTCTAAGATTTCACCTCACAGCTTGATACACTCTTCTGCTGAAACAGCCCTGGAAATACAAAAATAAGGGAAAGAAAAAAAAAAGACAGTAAAACAAATAGCAAAGAGAGGGAAGCAGAAAAAACAGCACACTGAACACATGATATCTACATTCACATACATACCCAGAGGAAAAAAATGTAGCAGGAACAAGTACAAGAGAATGATCCACAGCTGAAGTCAAGAGAAAAACAAACAAGCAACATGATTTATTTTAGCAACATAGGTCTGGTTTCTCCAGTTCCCCTGGGAACTAACACTCACAACTGGTCTATCAAAGAACAAAACCAGCCATTGCAAATTGCCATAAACTTCTAAAACATGATCTTCCAATCTCTTACTTTAGACATGGTTGTAACTAAGAAGTGCATATAAAACAGCAGATGCATTAAACATAATCTTTGACAAAAAAGAAAAAAAATCCACAAAACAAATGGCACTTAAGCACATATTAAACTCTACCTTATATACACAAAGTTATCAAAATTTGAAGATGTAACTAGTGCCCTTATCACAAAGCATTCTTTCCCTTAAACCCTGATTTACAGAAAATATCTTCTACAATAACAACAGTAAGATAATAAGGTTACTAAGTGTGAGATTTGAGTTCTTAATACTTTTTGTTAGAAAACTTCCATCTTAAGTTTTTAGATTACTGCCAGCTTTGAGAAGAGGTCCTTATCATGGAGTCTCATCATTTTGAAGATCTCTTTTAGCACTGTGATGTACATATTAAAATTTGTTTGGTAGTCTCTGAGCTGCTACTAGTCTACTTACGGTGCACTGCAAGCTAGTCTAGGAAAAAGAAACCTACTGAAGAATGACTGCTAAAACTATAAAAACAGGATGTAAAATTTGTACAATGAACAGCAAACTCAAAACTTAAAAAAAGCCAGCAACAAGGAGAATGGGAAAAAAAGACTTCAGCAAATTCAAATATGATATCCTCACAGAGTACAACTAGATACTACTGTACAGTGCAGTTGGATAAATGTACCCAATCAAATATCTAAACAGGCATATTAATCACTCTAGACTGAGATTGTTTAATGAAACTTTCCAGAATATTAATTAAATCAGTACTAAATGTCAACTTTATATAAAGACAGAACTTTCTTGTGTGTCCTCATTTGCTTCCAGTGTTCTTGATTGTTAGATTACAAATCATGCAGCAAAATTAGTCTGAGAACTGCAGGCAACAGATTAAGCATGACACTTTCAGCATTTTGCTTCTGCCAGATGAGTATATATCAACTTTCTCAGAGTTCATTTGGTCATCTTTGTGACTGAGCGATTCAGACATGCTCCAGAAGTCAAACTCTTCAATAATATTATTTTAAGAGGATAGAGAAAGAAGATAAAAAAAAATAAATTTATTTGTGTGGCCCATTAAGTGCTAAAGCAAATGCACTGGATATTCAACATACGAAAAGGTTTTCTCGGTAGGCCCAGACAATTTTAATCCAAGCTCCTTGAGAGTGTATATTAAACGTAATTTAAAAAACAAAAAATGAAAAACAAAATACCAAAACAACAAAACCCCAAAACCAAACCAACAAACAAAAAAGACCCATGCAACACATGTCCTCACAGACACGTGTGTGGATGGAAAATAGTCTTAAAAGTTAATTCAGCAGCACAGCAGATGAAGCCTATTTGCAAAGCTGAAAAAAAAAAAAAATCCATTTATCCAAAGCAAACTGGAAACACTTGGCCTATTGCTATGAATTTCTGCAGAACCTAGGGCTTCATGTTCAGTGTCTCTAGCCCTTAGGTCTGCAAAGTTTGCCTTATAAAGAAATACGAACCTATGTAATGCTACTTTGTCAAACATCTCTCCTGCTGCCACTGCTTTGAGCTTTTACAGTTGACAGAAAGATGAATGAATTTTCACTACTCCCACCTAGAAACAGCACAAAAATTACCCATTCCTTCAGTTTCATTATTACAAAGCACCAATCTGAACAACTGAACCAGAGGCAGGCTATGTAACTAAGGCAAAGCGAGCAGTAAGATCATCTCGTCATTCACAGAAAACAGAATGCCAAGACTTCTGTCCTTACAGATGTCTGGAAAAGACAAAAGGAAACTCTTTCAGCAAAGGCAGACAAGACAGTCAGCCAGCCCCTGTGCCTCTCTGTTCACCCATCTGTACAAACTCATCCAACGTCCGAACTCCCTCCTGCCACTCCCACCTCTCCACTTAAAACTGCATTACAGAGGTTAAAAGTGCATGGAAATCAAGTTCAGGTAAATTCAACACTTTGTAAAATTGACAAATTGGTCAAGTTAATTAGTGGTCTCATTGCAGAAGAAAGCTAATTAGTTTGCTAATTAGTAGTCTGGCTGTAAAGCCAACCAAACTTGTATTTAGAAGCTACACACACTTCAAATACTGTGCTTACAGAGAAAGAAGGGAGAAGAGATATGGAGAGAGGGGAAAGGAGAAAAAGACAACACTTACTCTGTCTGATTAACCTTTTGTCTGCTACCAGAACATTTTCTGCATCTACAATGATAACTTTCCCATCTCTTGGTCCAACTGCAAAGTTGTCAAAGCTGACATCAAGGAGGTAGAGTGCAAATTCAAAGTCATTATTTGTTAGCTGCTCAGCTATTTCCATTAATTGCCAGGCCAGATCCACTCGTTTCTCCCATGGTGCATTAAAGTAACTCCACAGTTCTTCTCCAACATAATTGACAGCCACCATTCTTCCACATGCTCCTAAGTACTTTGCGAACGGCCAACCCTCATCAGATGGAAAACTCTGTATATAAAAAGATTTTTTAAAAATTTTCATTAATACAAAACAGCTTAGATTTAAAAGGTTGATCAATAATATTTAGAAAAGACACCTGTAAATATCCATCAACATTACATCTCCAGATACATCTAAGTTTTGAAAGGAAAGAAAACACAACGCAAAAATACGTTTATGTGAGCAACAGGCCCTGCTGGACCATGAAAAGGGAAGAGCTGGATGACCTGAAATAATACATAACCCATACGTAGCTTTCCATATACTACATACCTTTTTTTTTTTATTTATTTTTTTACACATACACATGCACAATTCCATCAAGTATCTTTGTCTATTAGTGTTTTATACACCTGTTGTACTAATGCAAGTATACTTCCCACTAAGATAATGTTGCATCTGATATTTTTAGTTAAAACCAACTCTTAAAAACCTAAAGGAAAAACGTTAAAAAGTGACACCTTCTCACCAACACACACACGCACACCCCCTTCCCGTTTTTCCCAGTTGATCAGATTCCATTCTGACTACACACCTTATGATGTTAGGACATGCTGTTATCTAGCTATTCTCATCAAGATGAGCTTTCTCATCTGCAGAATGAAAAATACCCACTTTCATGTTTAAATGGCTTTTGTTGAATGGGCATGACTTAACAGTCATTAAACAGTTTTTGTTTGATATAATTAAAGCATTTAATGAAATGTCATGGAGGCCTTAATTGAGCCCATATTGAAAATGAAGGCTGAGTACCAGCTTAACTTATACCTAGCTTCCAGCAGTCCTTGCTTAGACCACTTAAGAACATTCCAATTTGGTCATCCAGAGTTTTAAAATTATTTAATATTTTAAATATAATTTTGAGACAGTAAAAATACCCACTTACGTGTTAATACTATTTGATAATTGGATCCTACTGGAAAATGAGCACCCTTTCCAGACTATTCTGCCTTAAGATGTCCTCTATGGAATTTTCAAGGATGCTTCAAAGTTTCTACATAGCAAATCCTGTCTATATAGTACATGCGAAGAAATTAATCTCATAATTGATATACATTGTTGACATGGTTTGCCATCTTTGTGGCAAACACCATTAAGCCAGCCTCTAACATGGTATGTGTAGAAGACAATTTCAGGGGAAATAATCATGTTTATCATTACAAAGAAGAAACTTTCAATCTTTCTCAGTCGGTGAAAAGGACATCAGACCCACAAAAATAACAGAAGTTCAAAGTTTTTGGGGTGCCTACGTGTCTGGACTTCTACTCTATTTTGAAGACCTGATCAACCTGCATAGATGAATCTGGTCATGAAAAATCCAGAGGATGACACAGAACTAATTTGATAGTTTTGAGACCAGCACAATGCTTTCAAGCTGTGACACCACGTAACTGGGCAGAACTAAATCTCTCTCACCAACCAAATTTACAATACAATATTTTTATCTATAGGCTTCAAGGCAATTTATGAAGGTGGTAAGTATGGGCAAATATCCACTAGTTCAAGACAAGTCAAGTGATACATTCAACCCTTAAGAAGTTGGCAGGGTTTTTTTTCGCTTGTTGTGTGGTTAGCAAAATTATTTTCCAATGAATGGTGTGCTAATTCAGTGTTTCTTACTTATTCTACAAATAGACCGATATAGAGAAAAATCATGCCTGTGGCATCAATAAACACCACTGTCCTGGGTTCAGCAGTAGCAGTCATTTTTCTCCTTCTTGGTAGCTGGTGCAGTGCTGTGTTTTTGACTTTCAGCCTGGGAACAGCACTGATAACACTGATGGTTTTAGTTGTTGCTCAGTAATGTTTACTCTGACCAAGGACTTTGTGAGCCTCATGCTCTGCCAGGGAGGAGGGGAAGCCGGGAGAAAGCACAGACAGGACACCTGACCCAAACTAGCCAAAGAGGTATTCCATACCACAGCACATCATGCCCAGTTGTCCTGGGTTCAGCAGTAGCAGTCATGTTTCTCCTTCGTGGTAGCTGGTGCAGTGTTGTGTTTTGACTTCCAGCCTGGGAACAGTGCTGATGATACCAATGTTTTCGGTTGTTGCTAAGTGATGTTTACCCTGACCAAGGACTTTGTGAGGCTCATGCTCTGCCAGGGAGGAGGGGAAGCCATGAGGAAGCAGAGACGGGGTGCCTGACCCGGGCTAGCCAGGGAGGTATTCCATACCACAGCACATCATGCCCGGGGTGGGGGGTAACTGGGTGTTACCCGAAAGGACACGGGCTTCTGGGTGGGACTTGTTTCTTGGCCGGTGGTATTGTATTCTCTTCCCTTGTTATTTTCTCCTATCATTGTTGTAGTTGGTAGTAGCGGTGGTGATTTGTGTTGTACATTGGTTGCTGGACTGTTCTTGTCTCAACCCGTGCGAGTTGCACTCTTTCGATCCTACTCCCCGTTCCTCCAGGAGCGGGGAAGGGGAGAGCCCAGGGCGGGGGGGGGGGGGGGGGGGGCTCGATTGCTCTCAACCCGGCACCACTCACTGGGAGTGAGTGAACAAGCTGTCTGGCTAGGGTTTAAACCACGACACCAGTATATAAACTGGGGGCAGTTACCTGGAAGGGATAGATCACTGCTCCAGTTGGGCTGGGTATGGGTCAGCTGGTAGTAAGCAGATGTATTCTCTTCCCTTGTTATCTCCCTTATCATTATTATTATTATTATTGGTGGCAGCAGTAGTGGTTTGTGTTATACCTTAGTTACTGAACTGTTCTTATCTCAACCTGTGGGAGTTACAGTCTTTTGATTCTCCTCCCCATCCCTCCAGGAGCTGGGGGAGCAAGGGAAGGAGTGAGCGAGCGGCTGCGTGGTTCTGAGTTGCCAGCTGGGCTTAAACCATGACAACCACCAAAAAGAAATTTCATGCACATTTATTAGTATTGTATTCAGTTCTGGATCCAAACAAACCAATACACAAGTTGCTGTTGTTCATCAAATGAGTTATTTACAAAGGAACGTGTTATTTCACTCAAAATGGAACAAGCATGAGTTGGTGCTGTGGTATAACCTCCTGAGAACTACTCCAGTGAGCAGGATCCAGTGGCATATAGGAAAATTCAACATACTGCCTACCAGTATCTATCAGGAAAAAGCCATACATCTTAGTATTGGGGAAGTCAAAATATGTGTACCTATGTGTCCTGTACCCACGTATATTTCCTTTATCCATACCTTATAAACCCAAATTTCTATCTTAAATTGGAGAAAATTTACCTAATTACATTTTCGTATAAATACAGGTTTAACCAATTCCACCAACTGTGCATAACATTATTGTATTGCTGCATTTTATCAGCATTTAATGCAATATAGTCAATTCAATTGCTACAGCAATGATGCCTAAATATTTTTATATGACTCTGGACCACCCCACTCCTTTTCTTTTTCAATCCTCTCCTTTTCTGTATTTCAGTCCTGCTCTGCTTATGCTTTTGCTTCCCTTCCCAAATAAAAACTCAACCACAAACAGTTGAACCTGGCAAATGCCATGCTAAAACTGGAAGCAAAGGTGTCCATCCCTCCCAACCCATACAGCATACTCATTTCAATCCTCCTCATGTGATTAGGAATGCAGCACAGCTGGTACATGCTGGGCCAGTGTTTGCTTCGATCAGTGGCCTGATCCAGCTCATCACATCACCAAATCATTCTAGTACTGACAAAAGGAAAGGACAAGGTCTGAATAGCCAGGTGCAGAAGAAAGGACCCCTCCTCTCCAGCAGCACCAGGGATTTATGTAATGGATTAAACTGATTTTGAAAGTACAGCATTAGTCACAATGGTACACTGACTGTCAAAACACATCTATTATCTTCCTGCATTCAGTACACTGAATTTCACTGCACATTAAGAAATCCTAAGAGCAGTTTAGTTTATTAAGAAGTGAACATCCCCAAAACTACTAGTAAAATATCTGCATGCCCTACTGTAACACAGATATTTATAACTCTGTGGCAATAAAAAGACCTTCTGACAACAGGAGTGCAGGGAATCCTGCCAACATCTGCACATGTACAAACATCTCTGTTCTGGCTCCCTTCCAACTGGCATGTAACAGCCACATCTACACTTCATTACCCAAGTCAGTAGCCAAAGAAGGGGAAAAAAATATGTACAAGTTCCTCATTGAGCAGTTTTATACTCACTCAGTGAATCTGACAAGAATATTAATTGATCTGTTGTCTTTGCAAGCAGAGATTTGTATCTTTCTGTACTATTCTATTTCAAAAACATCCTTCTAGATGAAACTGCAACTAACAACCTGATGATTTTTAATATTTCTTCATATATTAGACTTTCGAAAGCAAGTAAGACATGATATGAATTTTTATGGTCATTGAACTTGTTTTCCACAAACAAGTCGCAATTATAAAAAAAGGCTTAGTACATAGCTGCGAAAAATCTCAGATTTCTTTGTAGTAATGCATAACATTATTTTAGATTTTAATTCTCAAATTACTATTAGTATATATAATGAGATAATTTTGTACTTGAATAGGCTATTTCAAGACTTTAAAATGTGCATTTGACAAGATAAAAATTAGGCTTTTCTTCAAAACCAGAACCAGCTATCTGACAAAAGAATCTGCAATCCTGCAGAATGTACACACAAATGCCATGGTAACCACAGATAACCAAGCCCTGAAACATGTTTTAAAATATAGTAATGCATATGAAAAACTACAAAGAGGTAGCTTAATGAGTTTTTTCTCATTACAGTTGTTAATATAGAATGGTTTGGGTTGGAAGGAACCTTAAAGATGATCTAGTTGGACCCAGGTGCCATGGGCAAGGACACCTTCCAGAAGACCAGGTTGCTCAAAGCTTCACCCATTGTGGCCTTAGTTACCTTTCTTGAAATACATATAAGTTTCTAACAGAAAGAATGAAAACAGTTAATGTAACAAAAACCTCTGCTACCTCCACTCCCAGTGACACACACATAAAAAAACTCTTTCTTTTGCCCTAATTAGCGAAGTTACAGATACCTAAGCAAGGCTT